GTTACACGTTCTGTGTTCATGAGAAGCTGTTTTGCCTTGCCCAAGCTGAGGCTTCAAGGGAACAGGGGTAGAAAGTGGGTTTGGTGTATCTAGAGGGAATGAAACTGAAAAAGGCTAAGGAGCATTAGCGGCATTCCAGACCAGTCAAAGATGGAAAGGATTAAATCTTCCTTCTTAATTTTTGGGTACATGCAGTGTGCTCTGACATAGCTTATCTGTCTGTCACTGATCACTTTTACCAGACAAATCCCTAATCTGCATATAAAACTTTGGAAAAAGGCAAAGACTGATCAGGGACCAGAAGATGAGGTATTGCTGGAATCGGTGGTTACTGTGGCAACTTTCCTAAAAAAAAAATGCGTTTCTGCAAAGCCTTGGGGGTTTTGTGTTGTCAACATCTCATCCCAGGTACATCAAGAGCAGGTATGTCTACATCTTAGGCTGCTGTGTAGTTTGAAGGTACACAAAGTTTATATACTGGAATTAGGCTAGACTTAGCAGTGGAGCACACAACAAGTTAAATTTACTCTGCTTCTCAGAGCAACAGGTCCCAGCAGAATAAATCAAACAGTACAGAGCTCCACTAGTTAAGTACCTAAACTAGCTTGGGATCTCCACACTGTCTGCAAACCCAACTTAAGACACATCCAAAGAAGCCGTTCACGTCGCGATACAGCCTCGAGCCTCCCGAATTCCCCAGGTGGGACACAGTCTGGGGCATTACTGCACCCGACTGCTGCTGTGACACACACCACCCCTCCAGCAGAGCAATACTCGGTACAGCAAGTACGGCCGACGCTATTTTGGCCAGGAGTAGAAACATGTGACTCCAAAATCAAAAGCCTGAGCCTTCATAGCCTGGGATGAAGAAACCAAGCTGAAAATGGCCCCACTCCCACTTCGTGCGTACTGGGACCAAAACACACCACTGAAAATCCAGAACAGATGTTACTCGTATGTAAAACGCCTCAACCTTTAGATAGAAAAACCCACCGCCAGGCAATTTTCACTTTCTCCGTTTAAGCCACGGCAGGCAGCCAACGACAGGAAGGTCCGAAGGCTTTGACATTTCGTTTCCTGCTCCAAAAACCCGGGCCGCCGGGTGCCAGCGTAACGGCTAGCCCTCCGCCACACCAGCACCGAGGAAGGGGCTCGGTGGCGGGCGAAGCGCAGGGGACGCAGCCGGGTCCCCCGCTCCCGTACGCCATCCCCGGCCCCGGGACAGGGGGGCAAGCCGCGGCCGTCGGAGGC